CCGCAACGTAAAAAAAGGTGAAAGAAAAGAGACCCATCAATGAGTAATAATAGAGGACTTACACCAAGTAACAAGAGGAAATGTATATCGTTCATAATTGGAAAATTTAAGGCTTAATCATTAAAATTACCTAAGTGCATCCAATACAATGCTACTAACTTAGCAAGTTTTCTGTAAAGCAAAAGTTAAAAAGACAAATTACCTGAAGAGTGTGGCACTATCTTGAAAATCATCAGTAATATCGAGTAAAGATGACCCAGACACAGACGGCATATCTGCATCAATTTTTCTCTTTCGAGAAATAGGCGAGTGCCTCTACCAGCACCATTTTAGGCTTAAAAATTTATTTCCTCTTTATTTACAGAAAAATTTATGTTCCTATATAGTATACATGTACTAACAATTTGTTTCTCTAGAAAATGAAAACTGGAGGAATTCTAAACATACAGGAAATGCATAAGTAATGCTGATCAATAGAAGTTTCATTACAAATAAAATATGTAAATTACCAAATGGCTTCTTGTACAATCAATTCTTTACATAGTACAATATAATTCATTCCATTACAAATGAAATGCATATCTCTTTGTATATACATGTACAAAATTTTTAAAATAATGCTGCAGGAAATCCATAACCAAAATAAATTACTTTCATATACCTGTACTCTGTACAAACTGAGGAATTACATATTTTTACTATCATTAAATCCATTAATGTTCTAACATTGACAAAATTGGTTTCCTTCATACAGTACAGCATATATCAATGATAACTATGCAGAACTTCAATAAATTCATGAGTATTATTCTAATATTTAGGTAAATTAATATTGTTAGAACTCCTTTCACATCCTAATAAGCCCTTCAGTAAAATTATAAAAAAATTATTTTCAGTTTTCAAGTAAAAAGTAATGTTGTGAGATGTAATACTGAAGAGGTGTTCAAGGAATATTCCCTTCTTCTCGGTCCTTTATTTCTTTTCTATGGAAGCAGAAATCTTGTTAGAGATTCAAGCATCAGCACTTTGCGACTGATGATAGCCTCATCATCATCCAAAGCTCCGTCTTTGATCTTCTGGACCAACACTTGTGAATGAGGCAGGTAACTGAGGAATAAAAAAAAGGGGGGGGATTGTTTAAAGTAAATTTAACTTAATTTTATTCACAGTGAATACTAATTTTTAATGTTCAGAGGTTTACATTTTAAGTGTGGTATTATTTTTAGCATTTTTACATTAAAAAATAAGCACTAAACCTGTATGAGTTACATAGCTAAGTATGATAACATGTTTTTACCTACACCAAGGAAGACCATGCAGTAATGTTTTTGTAATTTTTTCCAATGTTAAGTTTTTAATAGCAGAGAAGTTCCAATTTTCACTGAACATCACACTGTATTCTTTGGCCAACAGGAAACTCGGGTATACCTGGAGAGAGTTCCAGAGGTCAACGCCCCTGCGGCCCGGTCTGTGACCAGGCTTCAAAATTTGTCTTGAATGGATGCTAGGCATAACCCACCATACTAGTAATTCTAACATTATCTGTAATTAACAATTCACTACAATAACTTGATTTTGTAGAAAGCTGAAAAAATGTATCTGCACACTATTACACTTTTTGAGAAGTTTGAGATAGAAGTGTTGGAAACTTGTATGTATATAAATACTATTCACAATGAATATTAACACAAAACTGGGATGCTGAATGTAGTAGTGATTTCTCTGCACACAAAGGAAAGTGTGGATGAGATTAAACTAAGTATAGAGACAAGTTACAAGATTGGCTCAAAAGTGATGCATGGCTAAATACATATTTTCTCTATCTCCCAAAATAACAATCTGCACAAGAAACATTAATTCCATGGTGCAAAAAGCTTGTATGTATTGGAAAATGTAAGCTAATGCCTGAGTTCTGCACAGTAGTAGTAAATTATAGGCCAAAATATCTCAACAAAACAACAAACTCATTACTGCACATTTCAAACTAAAATAAATAGCTGAAGTTCGCCAAGTGAGAGTCGTATACTTTTAGCAGCACAATTATAATAATAATTATAATGTTATTTATTTCTACAAGTACGATACAACTTATAAAACCTAGCTGACATCAATGACATGCAAAATAGATGGTGTCCTGTGGCCTGGTAAGCAACACTTGTGTGTGGGGCTCGATCCCTGGCAAGAGTGAAAACACTGGGCATGTTTCCTTACACCTACTGTCCTCGTTCACCTAGCAAGTAAGTAGGTACCTGGGTGTTAGTTGACTGGTGTGGATGGCATCCTGGGGGGACAAGATTAAGGACCACAATGGCCTTTCTTGGGTTATCCTGGGTGGCTAACCCTCCGGGGTTAAAAAAAAAAAAAATTGAACAATATCTTATCTTAAAATCCCTGGTTATTATTATTATTATAATCAAAAAGAAGCGCTAAGCCACAAGGGCTATACAGCAAAATCCCTGGTTATGCAGAGTATTTCAGGCAACTTAGGTTAATCTTGTCCCCAGGATGTGACCCACACTAGACGGCTAACACCCAGGTACCTATTTACTGCTATGTGAATAGTGTCAGCAGGTGTGAGGAAAAAGTGCCCTGGAGAGCGAAACGTTGCCACAATAAAATGTCTCATTAGTTCAACCAGTGTCCTTTTACCTAACATTTTGTAGGTAATTCTATCATTATTACAATTATTATTGCCAGGCAATTTTGATAAATTATGATAATTCAATACCCAAATACTACACACTTCAATTTCCTGAGATATTACATATTATATAGTAATATTCTACATTTTAAAACCCAATCAAATAGTTATAATAATAAGTTATAATAATCCGACACGCCCAAATACTACGCATTTCCCTTTCATAAGATTTTATTTTTAAATTCTAATATACTACATGAATTCATTCAGAGTTGTAATATTATACCAACAAGAGCAAAAACAACGTATTTACTCACTGAAAACCAATGCCAATCAGTCCAGATACTGCAAGAACTGCAAGAGAAACACGATGTCTGAAAGCTCGAAATTTTGTTCCTTTTGCACGACGATTATAATATGGATCCTCAGTGGTCATGTTAACAGCTGGTATTTTTTCACTCAGTATATGACCAATGTTCAGTATTATATAAAATACTGTGATATACTTCTTGGCGTGCAATGTTCCAGATGGTGCTGGGGTTGTAAGAGCACTGACAGCTTCACCCGTGTCCACCACCACTTCAACTGAAGTACAGAGAAGTAACCTTATTCACGTATACACAAATAGTTACATAATCATACATAGCAGCATATGTATAAAGTACCTAGGATAACCCATAGAGTGACTTATTTCCATTGGTGTCCTCACATAAATAGTTACGCAAATTATCATACGTAAGTAATGTGTGTGTAAATTACCTAGGATAACCCTAAAAATTCAGTTATTTATTTCCATTGGGGTTCTTGATTATTATTATAATAAAAAAGAAGCGCTAAACCACAAGGGCTATACAGCGGTGCAGGGCAGGGAAGGAAGCGAGGGTATTGGGCGGCCAGAAGGGGGAAGGGATGATTTTTTTTTTTTTTTTTTGACTAGAGTAGTAATAAGGATAAGGCTGCTGTAATGTGCCAGTCCCAAAAGAACTGACACGTATCTCAGAAAAATTTTGTGTTGATACCAACGTGCCAATCTAATTACTTAAAAACGAGATCCTAAGGGCTCGGTATCCTGGCTTTCAAGGAAATTTTAAACCCAGTGAACATAACCATCAGGCTTAGAAATGTAACCCTGGAAACCACACTTATATCTCACTGTGACAAACATTTATTTATTTATTTATTTATTTATTTTCAATTTGGCCAATACAAGGTACAAAAAAATACAGATAAGAGCTACCCAAAGCCACTTTACTTGCATGCATTCTCTGAAACATGGGTCCCATCCATACCAAATTCTCAACCTTCCTTTTTAACACTACTAGTTCCGGGATAAAACCCAAAAAACAAAACCCCCCCCCTTTACTCCCCCCATAAGGGCCACTCCTTTGCCCATCCTGGGGGACCCCCCAAGGGACCCACAGGGGTTTCTATAACCTTGGGGGAAAAATTTTTTCCCAAGACCCCTGGTGGCTAAAGCTCCCGATTCACCCCACGGGGGGCCCCGGGTTCGATTCCCGGGCGGGGGGAAAACATTTCGCATTTTTCCCTAAATTTGCCCCTGTTTCCCCTAGCAGCAAAATGGTCCCTGGGGGTTATCGACTGGTGTGGGTCGCTTCCGGGGGACAAGATTAAAGGACCCCAAATGGAAAAAAGTTAGACAGTCTCGATGACGCCTGATTTTTTGGGGGTTTTCCTGGGTGGCTAACCTGGGGGGTTAAAATCCGAACGAAATTTATCTTTTTATTTCCAACTTTTTCCTACACTTCGTCCTATAGAATTAGCCGCCAACCTTTTACTTCATATCCCCCTTAATCCCCCTCATTCCCCATGAAATCCAGATAACCCACTTGATATACATTATACCCCTTCCAACATCCCTGGGCACCCCCCTTTACATTAGTAGTAAACCCCTTAAAAAGGGGCCCCAAAGACCCCCCCCCCAAAGTTGATAACCCCCCTCCATGATCCACCCCCCCCAAAGGGAGGTACAAAAAAAAGACCACAAAAATGAAACGCCCTTTTTCAAAAACCACACAAAACTGACAAAAAGCCTTTTGCAAAACCCCCAAAATTACTACGTAACACCCCCTTGGAAGCCAGAACCCCATGATAAACCCTATTATTTAATTCTTTTTACTCTGGGATCCGAACTTCTAAAATCTTTCCAAAAAACCCCCCCCAAACATACTTTTGGATACAGGGCTACCCCTTGCATAATTCCTTTGACCTTTCACTCCCCTCCCCAACCCTTTCACTTTGTTTTTTTCCACCTGTTGCATGTCAATAAAAATCTCAACATATCTTCACAAACCCCAAATTTCCCTTTCCACCCCCCTTTAGTGCCCCCTCCAAAACCTTCCACTTTAGCGCCCTACACCCCCTTCCCCCATATACCCCATTTAAAATTTATACAGCCATTTTCTCAGTCCTAAAGGCAACAAACCAAAAAACCCCCCTCCCGAACTCCGTCTAACACCCCCCTTACTTAAACCAGGGCCCTCCAAACCCCCACAAAAACTTCACCCCTCCTCTGCTTTCCACAATATCTCGTCCCTCAAAGGGGAAAAAAAACCTCTGCCACCCCCATCCCTTGCTATAGAAAAGTGAATTTCCACCATACCTTGGAAAAGCTAAGTCCCTCACATTTAAAACCCCTCTATCTACTTAAAACCCTTAAACCCCGTGCAGACCCCAAATTTTACCCTTCTGCATGCCGCCTTCCGCCAAATCCCATATCCCACTCCCTTGATTCTGTCAACCACTGCCTTCCAAACCCACCCCCAAGCCCCCCCCTACCCAATTACCGCCCTCTAGTAACCTTGATTTCCCCGAAATTAACTCTCATTCGGTTTCTTTAAAAAATCTGAATCACTTACCCACCCCCCTTTAAAACTCCCCCTTACCCCAGAAAACAGTGTATCATCCCTACCAACGATGCCCCCTTTGCCCCCCCCCTTCCCTCTCCTGATTGTTCATTTCCCCTTAAAACAGACTATAAAAAGGGATTCTGCAACACGCAAAGAGAGCTGTGACATGGACGCCCTGCCTCAAACTCTCTCCATTGGTACACTTTTACCCAACCTCCCCTTGACCTGTACCCCCCACCTCGCCCCATCATACAGGGTGTTCACCCCCTCATACCCCCCCCCAAAACCCAACCTTCTAAGCAAACCCCAAGAAATCTCTGTCCACGCAAACATGAGCATTCACCCAATTTAAAAAACCCAGTTTCCCCCCCGTTTTCATCTCTAGAAAATCCCTAATCAAACCATGTCCCTCCCTCATCCCTTTTTCCCGGAATTCCCCCAAAGTCCCCTATGTAACACTAAACCCAAAACTTTCCTCTTCTGTTGCCCAAAACCTTTGCAAAAATCTTGTAATCCGGCACTTAAAGAATCGCACGGTAAACATTCAAAACTCGGGGATTTTTTTTTTTTGGGCACAAAACCGTGACACGTTCTTTGTGATTTCCCCATCCTCCTACTTAACATACAACTCAAAACCCCCCCCAGACAATGCCGTACACTCCCCCCAAAACCTATAAAATCGTTTGGTATTCCCTTATGCCCGGGGGTTTTTCCCCGGGACATCCCAAAAAAAGCCTCCCCACCTCCTTACATTAATACACCCCCGATCTGTCATGTCCTGCTCACTTAATACCCTATTAAACCCTTTATCCCCAAACCGTCCCTCACCCACTCCCCCCCCAACCCTCCTCCATTCCCCTTAAACCAAAAATCTGCATACAAACTAATATTTTCCTTGGTGGATAGCCCTTTACCCTCCCCAAAGCCACCCCCCTGTTTCCTGCCTCAATATCGCCAAGTGGTCTTCGCCCGCCGTTTCCTTTAAACCCCCTAATACAAAAAAGATGGCCTTTTCTCCCTTATGCATCCCCCAACCTGCCCTAATCGAATTGCCTCAAATTTTTCATGGGTTTTCCGCCAACCTTTTGCAAATGTATGCCCACTCCGCCCCACCCATTCCTTGCATAAAAAGTATTTAACTGACCTCAATATAAATTTTTTAGCCATAGTCCCCCTCGCCATCTCCTTACCCCGTACTTTAAAAAAAAATTTGCAATTTCAAATTTAGCCCCCATTTCCCACCAAACCGCAAATCCATTTCCTATTCCTAGTCTCCCCAAAAAGGGTTTCCCCCCAATCTTCAAACCCCTAGGGTCAACCTCGTCCCCAAGTAGCCCACATTAATTTCCGTAAAACTCAAAACCTACTATGCCCTTACCCAAATTGCTATAACAGCACAGATCAGAAAAAACCCCCACTTTGTCCTCACCCCCTCCACACCTAGCCCCGCCCAACATAAATCCTATCTAACCGTGCCTAAAATCCCTACGAAAAAAAGTGTGCTCTAACCCAAATCCCCTACTTCCCCCCAAATCTACCCCTCAACATCTGCAAAAAAATCCCCCAGAACCCCCAAAAAAAACAAACCCCCCCCCTCGGAATCCTCACCCTTTTCCCAAAGACACAATTTCCAATCCCCCAATCACCGTAAAAACAGGCAACCTCTCAAGTGATATACCCAAAACCCGCGTACAAAAATCCCCCTTCCTCTAGCGTTACTATTGCTGGCATGTACACACCTACAAAATAACCCCCCGGCCCCCAAAACCATCCACCCTGACAACCCTCCCACCCCCCCCTCCCCCAACCCAGGATACACAAAGGATGGTCTCCTTTACCGCCAAGCCACACCTCCTTTCAAATCAAAAAATCACAGTAAACAACCCATAAAAACCCTTTCAACAACAATCAATCCTAACCCATGGTTATGTTCCTGCAAAAAAAAAAGACACAATACTATATCTCCTCAAAACCACTTAACCATACCCTCTTGACCCGGTTTTAAGACCCTTTATTTAAAGTTTCACACCCCAATTTTACAAGAATGGCGGCTTACCCCTGTGCGCTGAGGCTTACTTGGGCCCCCTTTCTAGGTCTCGGTTCTTCTCTATCAATCCCTCGTTCCTGCCCTCCAACCCCTCCCTGTCACTTCCCACCTAGCTTCCCATTGCCCCCCCCCCTCCTCCCGGACTTGCCTTTGCTACCACAGCTGCCCACATTCTTCTTCCCAGGCCTCTGCGCTGGTGTGAGGACTTCGTCCATGTCTGATGCCCCCGCTGATCTCTTGCGGGAGCTACCCTCTACAGCAAATAATAGAGCCTACTAGACTGGAGAATACACTAGACCTCATCTTCACTAACAATGATGATCTGATAAGAAATGTCACCATAATCAAAAACAATATACTCAGATCACAACATAATTGAGGTTCAGACATGTATGCGTGGAGCCTCAGACCGACAAAATGAGACTAGTCACGAGGGAGCATTCACCAAATTCAACTTCAATAACAAAAACATAAAGTGGGACCAAGTAAACCAGTCCTAACCGATATAAGCTGGGAAGATATACTAAGCAACACAGACCCAAACTTATGCCTAGAACAGATTAACTCGGTGGCACTCGATGTATGCACAAGGCTTATTCCTTAAGAAAAAGGAGGAGTAGATGTAAAGTAGAAAGAGACAGGCGCTCCCTTTACAGGCGACGGAAAAGAATAACAGAGCGGCTAAAAGAGGTCAATATATCAGAAATGCGCAG